AGCAACAGACTATTAAGAAAACACCCCAGCCCAGTCCAGATCAAGTCCATGAGTCCAATATTAGCCCATAGGTCCAATACTAGTTCATAAATTCCTCTTCAGACTCACACAACACATGCAATGACACCGAATGCAGGAAGATCACAGGCCCGTGGGTGGAAAGTCTTGTGGATCCAGTGGCGATAGGAGGATCTCAGCGCTGGCGTAGGTCTCCACGTGGCTCCTCCAGCTCCAGGGCTCTGGCTCCATCAGTGTGTCTCCATGTGACTTGTCAACAGCAATGTCTCCCAGGGAGTGTGTCTGTGTCCCGCCCCCAGTGAGCTATTTTGCTCCGTAGCGCATTCAAATGAGGTCATCAAGCTGTAACCTGATGGACAGGCTACGCTCCACCCCTTCACTCTTAATAGTCTCAAGTTGACACCAGATGATGTAACTCCCACACACGGAGTGAGGTTGGTGCTGAGGAATTAGCTCATGCAATAATGGGGCCTGGAGATCCCAGCTCGGCAGGCAACTGGCTGGGATGTCTAAAGGTTACAGCAGAATTCCCTTTCTCAGAAACCTCCGTATGTGTTCTTATGGCCTCCAACTGATGGGGTAAGGCCCACCCTCGTTATTGCCCTTCCTCAGAATCCGCTGGTCATGAATGTGCATCACACCCACACAGACCTTCTCGGCAGCGTTCAGACGAGTGTGTTTGGAACAAACAACCAAATGACAGTGAACCTCACCATCCCCGTGGCTTTGTCTCCGCTCACAGAGTTTCCTGCTGACAGGAGCGCCGGCCCACGGGAGCCAGCAGTACCCCAGCACCCACTTCCTGGGCCGGCGGGAGACCCTGGGTGAGTAGCAGCCTGGTGTGCAAGGGCCCAGGACTTCACCACCCCCCTTGCTCCTGAGAGGAACCCCAGTGGTTGAGAGAGGATGGAGCCACTCTGGAGGCAATTGGGATGTTGGGGAGGCAGTTTACCAGGGACGCTGTGGGCTCCGTTGGGAAAAGTGAGGCCCTGTGGGGGGCATGGCTTACCCCGGCCACCCTGGCTGGTAAAAGCCAAGCCCAGGCCCAAGCCTGGGTCTCTGGAAACCTGCCCAGGGTGGTCCTTTGATGCCTGGTGGAATGGCGGGTGCAGCCGCCTTGACCTCCTCCCAGTTTGAAATTCCCCTCCTCTGGAGCGCCAGTCTTTCCCTCTGTTGATGGGGACCTTCCTGGCTCCTGGAGATGTTTTGGTGACCCCAGCGCGGGAAGCACTTGGCACAAGCCCCCGGCACATGATAGGCACTCACGCCACCTCCATGCTGGGTCCGTGGCGATGGCGGTGGGTTCTCAGCACGGCCACAGCACTTGAGGCAACCTGCTGCGCACACTTAACGTTGCCCGCCAGCACAACCATTAGTAGCCACAGCTCCACCGCACAAGGCAGGGATCCGACACTGGCCCTCCTCTGCCCCAAACCCTCTATGGCTCCCTAGTACCTCACAGAGAAAGACGAGCCTCCTCACGCATGGACGGCAAGACCTATCACCAAAGCAAACTCACAGCCATCGAGTCCCTGGCGACCCTGGAGGGCAGGGTAGAACAGCCCCTGTGGGTTTCTGAGTCTGGAACTCTTTATGGGGACTCAGGAGCCCCATCTTTCTCCTGCCACGTGGTGAGTGGTTTCGAACAGCTGACCTGGCAGGTAGCAGCCCACCGAGTAACCACGAGGCCACCAGAGCTCCTGTCAACTCCACAGCAAGTGGTTTTTATTCTGTCCAGCTTTAAGTCACCAAATCCACTGCCGCAGCATCAAGTCCAACCCAGAGAGGCCTCACAGGATAGAGTCGGGCTGCTCCCTAGAGTTCCTCGGGCATCTGTCTTCAGGGAGCAGACAGCCTCCTCTTTCTCCCTCGGAGCAGCTGGTGGGTTTGAACCACTGACCTTGCAGTAAACAGCTCAATGCTGTTAACCCACTGCACTCCCTTAAGCTTTCTATCTGTAATCTAATTGACCCCTCCCACCAGAACAACAGCTCCTTAAGGGGCTGCCAGCGCTTAGCACCACGGCCAAGCGCTCGGTAGGTGCTCAGGAATTACTTCCGAGTAAGGGGATTCGCATCAGGGAGGCAGGTACCTGTGCAGAGTCCCGTTCCCAGGCCACACAGCACCTCCTTGAGGCTGCTCACAGCACCTTTTCTAGGATGTACGCATCCATAATAACCCTGCAGGGGAGGCTCTGTCAGCAGCCCACCTGACAGATGGGGAAACCGAGGCACAGAGCAGTGATGTCATCATCTGTCCCAGGGTGCTCAGCTCACTCAATGGCCAAGTAGTGCTGCCCCGCCCCCGCCAGGGGGTGGGGGTGGATTCCGAGAGGCTGTGAATATTCACGGGAGCAGAAAGCAGGCTTCCTCTTCGTCCAGCAGAGCGGCCGGTGGGTTTGAACTGCTGACCTTGTGGTTCGCAGTCCAAAATGCCACGGACGCTCACCGCCACGTCGGTAGCAGAGCCCGGATTCCAACTCGGGCTGCATCTGAGTCCCATGAGAAGCAAGGGGTTCTCGGCTTGTCTCCAGAGGACAGGGCCTCGGACGTGGTCCTTCGTGGACTGCATGTCTGTTACAGGGGGGAGGGGCGGAGCAAATGGAGCTACACACCACCTGGACCAGGGCCGGGTCCTCGGCCTCCAGTGTCCCCGGGCCCTGAGGTTCTGATAAGAGAACTGCCTTGAAGGAAGGTTGGCTCTTTGCATCCTTCCAGGCTCTCCTGACACAGGAAGGGACGAGACGGGGTGCCATGCTAATTCATCTTCCGTCTCCCCCCCGCAGGCCCAGGCCCCTGCATGCTGCCTCTCTACACGGATGAGGACGCTGCCCGGCACCTGAGCTGTGTCCTGCCTGCAGCAGCCTTGGCCCAGGTCAACTGAGCCAGACTTTCCCACCTTCCCTTCTGTCCCTCCAGAAAGGACCCCGCCCACACTCCAAGCTGGCAGCCAACACACAGGATGGGGGTGCCAGGAGAGGGGCTCCCTCTCTCCTCTGTGTGCCCCCCACCCACCTTGGGCCTACCTCAGCCCCCCAGCCCTCTGGCCCCCTGTCTGGGGGCTTGCTGGTGGGGGTCTCTCAGCTCTGTGACCTCTGGGAGAGGGGGGGTCCCTGGTCCCCTCCTCCTCATTCTCTCAGGACTTCCCTTGGGGTTCTTCTTGGCTTGGGGGTTACCTCATTAGCCCTTTCTCAGACTCTCTCGCCTTTATTTGGGGGAGCTTGGAGGTGAGGGCCGGGTGGATCTGTATTTTCTGGGCTCTGGGTGGAGATTGATAGGCATGATCTCATTTGTGTCTCCCCACCTTTCTTATCTTCTTCTTGCTGTTGCCCTGATAGGGTTTTTCATGGCTATGGATTTCTGGGGACCATAGGAGCCCAGGGTTCCTTCCCTGCCCTCAGGCATCAGTGGGGGTGTCTCTGGGTCAACCCTACCCCGTCCCTCCACCCCTGCTACTTCTGATGGAGCTCCTTGGACTCCCAGGCTGCACCAGCCCTGCCTCATTCTGGAGCATTCTGAACTTCCTGCTGCACCCAGCCCCATGTGCACACTGACTTCCTGCATGGTCTTCCCGCTCCAGGTGCACCCGCCAACTACCTCTGCGCCCAGACCACACAGCCGGTGGCCACCCTTCTCTGATTCTAGAGCCCACAACCCTGATTCTAGAGCCTCTGGCACGTTCTGTTCAGGCCTGTCATCATCCCAACTCTGTCTGCAATCCCCCCTGATCTTCAAACCCAACAGAGGCTCTAATGCCTCACAGCTTCCAACTCCTCCTGGCTCCAGAACCGAAGCTCCAGACTCCTGGAGCAACTAGCATTCTCTTCCTTCTAGCTGCCGCCCTCTCACTGCCTCTGGTTCTAGACCGCGCTTTAGGAATGCCTCTGGGTTCTAGACTGTGCTGTGGGAATGCCTCTGGGTTCTAGACTGGTGTGGGAATGCCTCTGGGTTCTAGACTGTGCTGTGGCCATGCCTCTGGGTTCTAGACTGATGTGCAAATGCCTCTGGGTTCTAGACTGTGCTGTGGGAATATTTCTGGGTTCTAGACTGTGCTTTGGGAATGCTTCCGGTTCTAGACTTCACTTTCTGAATGCCTCTGGGTTCGAAACTGCACTTTCTGAATGCCTCTGGGTTCTAGACTGCACTGTAGGAATGCCTCTGGGTTGTAGACTGCGCTTTAGGAATGCCGCTGGTTCTAGACTGCGCTTTAGGAATGCCGCTGGTTTTAGCTCTCGCACACTGTGGTTCCACCCCACGCCAACACAGCCTGCTATCTGATTTCCGGTCTTAGGACCTCCAATTGCCTCAGATTCTGGACCCCACAACCCCAAGCTTGCCACTGGCTCTAGAACTCCCCATCTGCAGTCCATTCGGCTGCAAAGCTAGGCCAGTTAATGTCCTAAAATATTTCGATTCTAAATATGATACCCAGCTCCTGTTCCTTCCACGTTCTGTCCCCTCAAGTCACTGCCATCGAGTCAGTGCAGACCCAACTACCCTGGGGAGCTTCTGACCCCATCATTCTTTATGGGAGGAGAAAGCCCCGGCTTCTTTTCCCCGGGGAGTGGCTGGTGGCTGGTGGCCTCCAGATGCTGACCTTGCAGTTGGCAGCCCACCGCATAACCACTGTGCCACCGGGGCCCTCGTTCCACGCACTCTAGCTTTCTCAACTTCCGACAAGCAGAGTGGGTCTTCTGTCTGGATCTCAACAGTTCTTTGAAAACCAGACACCGTGTTCCGAGTCTCTTCACTTCTAGACTATCCAACCTCTAGACCTTGCAAACTTCCAAGTCTCTCTTCGGAGCTCTCTGGGTGATCCCATTTCTCTGGCCACAGAACTCAGCTGTCAGTGTCTCCTGGGTCAAAAGCACATCCTAAGCATCCGAACTCCCAGGTCCCCCGCGCCCCCTCACTCCAGATCTTAAGACACCAAATAATCTCAGCTTAGAACACAGCATTTGAACTGCTTCTAATTCTAGAGACCCCCATGGGGTCTTATAAATGTCTCTGGTTCCAGGCCTGGTTCCGTTTCTACCCAGCCTTGGAGACAATGGCTCCAGTAAGTCTTATGGACCTAGAACTTGGCCTTCAGGTTTTTTCTCTCATTCTAGTCCTTCTGCGATGAACTTCTCTGATTCTAGGCCCCGCAGCCTCCAGCTCCCTTTGCTTTGAGACCCGAACGCTTCTGGCTCCCAACCTTGCTTTGTAAATTCCTCCGGTTTCAATTTCGGAATCCCAGGGCTTATCCTCCAGATGGGGTTCTGGGCTTCCTGTCCATCTCAGGTCTCTGGTGTTGCTCTCGCGGACGTAGCCCAGGTGGCTGGCTTTGGCAAACAGAGACTTGTCTTCGCCCAGCGGAGGAGGCTAGAAGGTCTGGGTTCAGGGTGTCCACTCTAGAAGAGGGCTCTCCCTACCCTGTGAGCTCTGGAGGAACTGGACCACAACTGGAAGGCCCTGCTCCTGAGTGACGTTCAGCTGGCTCGGCATCCTCCATCTCTGCTTCCTCGCCTGCTTGTTGGTCTCTTTTCTATCTCAGAAGAGATGGCTGGACACACACCCGGCCTCCTCACCGTCACAGAGGGAACCCATCCCCACGTGTGCAGATAACCACAGGCAGAGAGAGGGGAGAGGATGTTCAACACATCTAAGGGCTCTTCAGGAAGAAGCTGGTGGGGAAGGCCCACAATCTTTTAATTCCATTTTCTCCCCCATGAGATAGTGGAAGCCCCGCGTCTCCCTCCCACCTCTGTATTTGGGAGGGGGGGCATGGCTCAAGCCATAACAGGACCCCCATCAGCTTTCTCTGTGGCTCTCACCCTGGGTCTTTTGTCTTCCGAATCCAGATCCCTCCTGCCTACGGGGCTTCTCTGCTTATGTCTGGGACTCTCCTTTCTCAGTCTCAATGACGCCCCCTTCACTCCCCATCCCAGCCCTGCAGACACACCCCCGGTGTCTGGAGGTCCTGGGGCCCCCTCACCCCACTTGGGGGTTCGCAAACCAGGAGATTCCTCCAGCTGCCGCATAGGCACACGCACAGCCCTCTCTGCACACCGCAGGGTGGGGACCGAGGCCAGGCCTCCTCAGCTCTCTGCCCTCTCCTATGCACCCTGCTTCTCCCCACCTCCCTTTCTAGGATGGTGCTACTCTTGGCCTCCTGCAGGAAAAGGCCTCCCCTTTATAGCTGGATTCACCCATTGATTGGAAGGCACTGCCCACTATGTTTAATCTGGGGAGGGGGTGGGCAACCTGACCCTGGCCTTCCATGGTGGGAACTGTACTGGGATGGGGGAGGGGAGGGGCCGGACCAGCCACAGGCTGGCTCTGAAATCCACTAATCATCAGATTACCATAAAGGCCTCGCCTGCCTCCGTCGGCACCAGAGATCTGTGTGTTGACTCGTCTGTCTGTGGGGTGGTTTCAAGGGCTGTGGGTGTACTGGGTGACTCACTGCGTGCACCTGCGTGTCCCCGCTACTTCCTGAGCGGGTGTGTGCATGAGCGAGAGAGACAGGGGGAAGAGGAATGAATGGGTGAAGCTGTCCGTGTGTCTGGATGGGCCCCTCTCTCATCTGTCGGTCCACTGCGATGCGGCCCCGCTCTGCCCTGGTGGTTCAAGTGCCAGGAGAATCCAGATGAACACATTACGACAGCCCTGACAGCGCCCTTCTGAGAATGAACCTAGCTCACGACCCCAACACCGTCTGATTTGCTTCCTTTGTCCCATCATCCAAACCCCATCGAGTCGAGGCCGACTCTTAGCGACCCCGTAGGGCAGGGGAGAACCGCCCCTGTGGGTTTCTGAGGTTGTAACTCTTTATGGAAATAGAGAGACCTCGTTTTTTGTCCGTCAGAGCAGCTGGTGGTTTTGAACTGCTGACCTTGCAATTATGGACAGCGATGGATTCAAATATACCAGCCATCGTGAGGATGGCGCAAGAACGGGCAACAATTTGTTCTGTTGTGCATACGACTGCCATGAGTGGAAGTCGGTGAATTCATTCTCTCTTAGCTAGCTAGCTGTCATCCACCCATCCATCCATCCACCCACCCACCCACCCATCCATGCATCCATCCAAGGAACCCTGGTGGCATAATGGTTACGCATCAGGATGCTAACTGCAAGGCCAGCAGTTCGAACCACCAGCTGCTGTGCAGGAGAAAGGGGAAGCTTTCTATCTCTGGAAAGAGTTATGGTCTTGGAAACCCATGGGGGCAGTTCTACCCTGCCCTAGAAGGTAGCGAAGAGCCAGCATCAACTGGGTGGCCAGGAAATGGAGTTGTTTTGTTTAATCTGTCTACCTACTTACCCGTCTACCTATCTATCATGTAGGCCCACCTAACTTGTGTATTTCCAGTGAGGTTGTCATTGTACATTGTATATATATACGTCATGCTATTGTGTGACAATCTGTGAATCTGTTGGGGGGGGGGAGTCCTTGTAATTCTTTCTACATATGTATTGATATCTGGGTGAATTGATTCTGCATCCTATGTGTAGCTAGTTACGTGGAGTCTCTGTGTTTGATAAATATGCGAGATGTGATTCCACCCACCCTACCCATCCCCACCCCGGGTTTTGAAGTGATTCAAATTAGCCAAGGCAGTGAGGTGGTAACCGATTCCAACTTTTAAAATTTGGATGAAGCCGAATGATACAGAGAAGGGGTCCAATTACAGGTGGGAGCCCAGGAGTAGGTGATTCGACCAAGGTGCAGTGAGCTCTTTCGGGAGCCTGATATGTGATATTTGATTATGGCCAGGGCTCTGCAGAGCAATGCACGCTCAAAGCATCATGGCTGGCTGCCACCTTTGAGCCTGGTGTTGTGGTCTCTGACCCTGTCAGTCAAGACCATCGGCTGCTATGCCACATGCCCACTGCCTTGGTTTCCAAGAAGGACCTTCAGTTTCTTTTTTCTTAACTCCAACATCTTTATTGGCACATAATTTGCATATAACACAATTCACTTGTTTGATCCTATCAAGGAGAATTATTGTGAAATCATCACCACATCCATTTTAGAACATTTCTCCCTTCTCCTCTCCCTGCCCCAACCACTTAAATCGCCTTTAAAATGAATTGTGCAATCACAATCAGTCCTAGTACTCCCTCCCCGCAAGATGACGTTTCTATCAGGGCATGGACCCATCGTTTTTTCCCAGTCTGGCTATCATTCTGGTACACTTATGTTTTAGAAGTTCAGGTGCATTGTGGTTTTACTTGGTTAGATATAACTTGGCTGGGAAGAACCAGTTTGAAGTCCTGGATTTTTCTGGTCCCTGGGAGTGTCTGGGGAGCCCTGATGGCATGGGGCTACTCGCTTCAAGGTCAATAGTTTGAAACCACCAGTCACTCCTCAAGAGAAGACGGCTTTCTACTAAGAGTTATGGAAACTCACGGGGGAAGTTCAACCTTATCCTATAGGGTCCCTGTGGCAGTTACATAATCTGGTGTCAATTTGGGACTTAAGAGGATTAAGAGTGAAGGGATGGAGTCTAGTCTGTCAATCGGATTACAGTCAATGAGGCCTCTGTGTGGGCATAGCCTTCTCCCGAGAATTCTGGGAACTCCGGGATTTTCTTCCTTGGAGGCGGGAGACACTTCTCTCTCTCTGTCACTCCCTGAGAGATGCTCTACTGACCAGACACATGACGCTATGCCCTGGGAGCTGGAGAAGCCACATGGACCTACCCTGATGCACCCAAAACCCTGGTCTTGGAGAAGCCACGTGGAGTCCCCTGCTGAGATGCTTACGATGCCACTGGATCTACAAGACTTCCAACCCACTGGCCTGTGATCCTCCTGCATTCGGCATCATTGCATGTGTTTTGTGAGTCTGAAGAGGACTTTATAGATTGGTATGGGACATACGGGCTAATATCGGACTTATGGATGTGATCTGGACTGGGCTGGGATGCTTTAAAGGTACTCTTTATAAATTACTCTTTATATAAAGCTCTTTCTTACACACGAGTCACCTGGATTTGTTTCTGTAGTCTCCCTGGACTAACACTGTGTGTATGTGTGTGTGTAGTATAATTCTATGTAGTGAAGCATACGTGTGCAAGAAAGAGGGCATTGGCGAGCCACTGAGGAAGGGTGCTGGTGGTGACATGATAGGGTGCTGTGGGTGCCGTTGAGCTGGTTCCAACTCACAGCCACCAGACGGGCAACAGACTGAAACATGGCCCAGCCCTGAACCATCCTCACCACCCTCCTCCTGGGTGAGGCCATGCTGCAGCCACTGTGTCTGTCCGTCTTGTCGGCGGGCCTTCCTCTTTTTTGATCCCCGCCCCCCGACTTCACCAAGCACGATGTCCTTGCTTCTAAGGGCTGTATCTGGGATGGTTGACCTCAGTTCTCCCTTCTCAACTCAGGCGGCAGAAGCACTTTTGTAAATCCAAGTCCCTTTTGCTGAGGGAAAGGGAAGTTTCAGGTCTTACAATCTCAGATAACACGCTGTCTCTGGAAAGCATGCAAGGCTGCATGGCGTGGCTGTGGGAAAGTTCTCCTGCGAAAACAGCGCTTCGCAGGAGCAGGAGCGGAGTCCACAGATACAAAAGGGGAAGAAGAGAGGGCGTGCACCGTACACGGGAGAGATTCCACCTGAAAGGGAGAGGCCTGCCCTCAGCCGGTGCTATTTAAACCCTCCTAGCCCCACTAGGAGGGGCGTGGCTGCAATCCCCACGGGGTGGGGGGCGTGGTTAAGGGTATTGGCCGTTCTCTGCGGTTGAGTTCAGGCGCACCTGTGACGTGATGTCGTCACTGGTGCCTAACGTGTGCGTGCCTCACAGGTTGACCTTCATCTGTGTCCAGGTGACCTTGGTCTGAGCCTCCCCAGCTTTGGATTGTCCCCTTAGGTGCCTGATTTCCTTCCAACCCCTCATTTTTGTTGAGCGTAGGAACTCGGTGGAGACAGCCCCCTTTATCCCTAATCTACCTATCACTTGTACTTCATCCAAGACAGATTCGTTTCTTGGGTCGCTAGGAGATGGCATGGAGCCCATGACAGTGAGTTTGAAGTTTGGGAGGAGGGACAATGATCACGTTTTGGAAAAGATCCTTCTAACTTCCTGGGGGTGATTGTTTGTACACTAAAGGGAGGGTAAAGGTGAGCGGCAAGCCAGACAGCAGCTGCTGCGTCCCTGGGAGAAGACGCAGAGATAAAGCAGACTCATTTTGAAAAGTCAACAGGATTTCAGAAACTGAAACGGCAAGCGAGTTAATAACCGTAGGTCATGAAGGTTGAAAGAGGCCGGGTCGCATAGCGGTCTCGTTACTCATAAGGCTGTTGACCACAAGGTCAGCAGTTCGAAGCCACCAAACGGTCCGTGGGGAAAAACAGGGGACTTGCGACGCCCATAAAGAAGTCCTCTCAGAAGCCCACAGGGGCAGTCCTCCCTGTCCTATAGGGTCGCTTTGAGTCGGCATCGACTCCATGGCAGAGTTTGGTTTGGTTTACTGAGCCTGAAACTTTCTTTCGGAGACACCTCCCACTTTTCGG